ATCCTTAAATAGCCAAATGTTGGCCGCCACCTGGCTTTAATAATACCTTCTCCTTGTCTTATAAGAATGCAAATCCCTTTTCATGTAGGGCACATGATCTTAACCCATATCATACTAGCAAAATTAAACTCAATCCTATAAGGACACCATCTTCTTTTTCAAGTAGGACACATAGTTCCTAGAAGAACACAACCACTTTTCCTTCTATAAACTGATGCATTCATCTGCCAACTTGGATGATGTCCTTCTACTTGAGCACTACCATCCAAAAACCAACTTGGATGGCTTTGATACCACTTTATTTATTTTATTTATTAGATATTATATGGCAAGAGTTTGGAAGCATCACCACTCGCCATAAGCCCTTAGTAGTAACTAAGGATCCATAAGTATATACCCACTGCCAACTCCATTGGTCAAACCACACTAGATATCCAAACATCATGTGGCTTCCTCCTTTCAATGGAGTGGCATACTCCATATTAATATTAGGTTTCAATTTCCCAACATGTTTCCTGACACCCTTGCTTGTGACATCTTGCTTATATGCTCGAGTTATCCCAACCAGTTCATTTAGTTTTTGACATCGACCTTTGTGGTTGTGAGTTGCTCTATGAGGTACATAATGCATTCTCAATTCTTTTGGATCTGAAGGGAAACCACGAGCCCATCTCTGCTTTGGTTGCCTCCAAACTGCTTCATGTATACTCTTCACATCACTTCAAGGGGATGGGTGTTTAGACTTTACGAATCCATTGGCACCTACATGGATAACTTGTATTTGTTTCCAAACCCCAAAGTCTTTTTGACTCTTACACTTAGAAAACAACCACCTTTCACCATTTGTTTTACCAAGTTCTATTGGTACATATTGAAACTTCTTATACATGTCACTATGTCCGCCCTTTTTTGTTGACATATTACAACCTTGTTCATCCTTTTTTACACTCTTAAATTTATGCAAGCCATGAGTGGCTTGATCATATCGCATATTTATTGACTTGCCTCCCAATCCAGTTTTTGTGCTTGGTGACATGCCCCCCAGTCTATTCCTGATCATGCTTTTATCTTTACCCGAGCCATGTTCAGGTTGAGCTTTTTGCAAGTTTTCTGACATGCCCCCAATCCATCTTTGTTGGTTGGTTACATGCCCCCCAATATATTCTTTGCCATGCTGTTACCTTTACCTTAGTCATGTGCAGGTTGAACTTTTTGCAAGTTGTTGGACATGCCTCCTAATCCATCTTTGTTGGTTGGTGACATGCCCCCCTGTCCAAACTTCTAGACACTAAGTTTCCCTGCTATTGGAGATTTTTTTGACAAATGGTTCAGTAAAGGATTATAACGAGGTGGGCCAATTTTTTTGCCTTTGAAATTCATAATGTGGTACCATCTCGACATATAGAAGTGTTTTTGGTAACCATTGTTAAAACATCTCTTAACTTGGTGGGATGACATGCCTCCCTGACAGCTTAACTTGACCATTACTATCAAGTTCCTCTTTATGGTTCCCTTTTTCAATGAACTCACTGATGGTATGGATACCATGTATTTCACTTTTGATTTTCTTAGAAGCATGTTTACATATACTTCTTTGCAATGGCTTTCGTAAGCAATCTCCAATTTTTGTACCCTTACAATAAATTGTGTTCATAGGAAAATGCACATTTGAATTGCTTGCTTCTGGCAACAGTGTTGATGCCAAAATCGGGGATGACACCTTATTGACATTATCTAATCCACGACCAATTTCATCATTGACAGATGTGGCTTCTTTAACATTTTTACCTGACAAGCATGACAAGTTGGATTGACCACTACATTTACCATGACATTATAGATTGTCCATCGAAATGGCCTGACACCCAACTTTCTCATCAACCAATTGTGGTTGACTTCCTAAAACATGAACTTCGTCAGTGCTTACTATTCTAATTTTCTCATTCACCACATCTCTATCGCTCACCAACATGATTTTTTTAGGTACAGTGGATGCATCATGCATAATTTCATGCTTTGAGATTTCAAAATCACAAACATATCTATCAGTCATCCTATCACAGGCTTTATCCAAGCTTTGTTTGAGATAATCAAGATGCTTATGTATAGAGGCAATGTGAAGGTTTACATGTTGATCGATTTTATAGAGTCCAACCACTATTTTATGAATCTCCTCTATCATTTGGCGAAGTGAAGGCACTACTTCACCTGGATTTGGACTTGACACCATGGTTGACACCATTGCTCCAACAGTGTTGCCTGAAGTCTCTCCAACTTGGTCAATCTCAAAACTGACTAACTCCTCCTCCTCCACAAAACCATGTGGAAGATCATCTTCTTGTTGCATCAGTCACGAAGCCATACCAAACACACGTGTCCCACCGGGCGTGCCAATTTGTTTTTGGTAGAAAACGGGTGGATGGGTTGCACCTGACTTCTATGAAGGTGACGATTGTTACTACGGTCCATATCTCTTCAAACATTATTCGAACGAGGGTGTTTGGTGTATGGGGAATCTACGTTACCTTACACTACTCCTATGGAGATTCCTTGAGAGCTCCGCGACTACAACTAAGACTACTACTATGAGGATCCTTCATGGAGGAGAGCTCTGCAAACTACAGAGAACATGAAAAAAGGGACAGTTGAGACAAGTTGTCTTTGTGTTGAATTGTGTTTGGATGGTGTCCCTGATGTGGGATGGTCACCATCCAATTAGTCTTTTGGATGGTGTCCATGATATGTGGGATGGTACCATCAACCATAGGATTGGGATGGTATCCACGGTGTGGGATGGTCACCATCCACTTATAGTTTGGATGGTGTCCATTATATGAGGATGGTACCATCTAATTTGGGGTTTAGATGGTATCCATAATATTTTGGATGATATCCATGATGTGGGATGATCACCATCCACTATATAGGATGGTACAATCCATCATAGGGTTGGACGGTATTCATGATGTGCGATGCTACCATCCACCTAAAAGTTAGATGGTTACCCTGGACTCGGTACATGGTGACCAAGTGTTGTTAGGTTACCCAAATAGTATTTCAGAGGGAAAATATGTTTGTGTAAACAAATACGTAATTGAAGAAAAGGTGGCATCAACCTTGGTGTTAGTTAGCATATATAAACAGCAATGGGTTTAATTAATGGAAGAAGTAATGCGTCACCATTATCGACAGGGGAAGATGAAACCAGCTAACTAGTTGAGGACAAAAGACAAGCTCTAATTTTTTAGGCCTAATTAAGCACATGGTATTAGTTAGTTAGTTACAAATGGCGCTAACTAATTACGTGTGCCAGTGAAATGTGAATTAAAGAAATTATTTCGAGCAATTCAACTGCAAGTAACTAGAGTTTTGACCTATAATTTGTTGGAATTTTCGAGCCAATTGCAGTCAGTGATTTTAGTTAACCGTCTCAACCCACCGGGTTTCTAAAATCCATGGGCCGGGTCGGGCCGTGGATGCTTTTTTTTTTTTTTTTGTCAAAGGGGCCGCGGATGCTGTTGAAATTAAGAATGGCAACAAAACCCGAACCCACATGTACCTACCCGACCCAACTCGGTTAACGCGGGTAAAATTCGTGTTGACGGGTTTTGGGTTTAAACTCGTTCACTATTCACCGGGTTGGGTTGGGTTTGGGTTTAGGTAAACCCAGTCCATGGGTACCCCCACGCTCATATAATTAATTTTCTCGGCATATTTAATATATCAACAACTAATTTTATTTATGTTTGTGGAGACATGTCTAATTTTTCTTTCTAGTTATGTAGAATGAAGTTGATGTTATCGAGTGGAGAGTGAAAAACTTAATTGAAAGGAAGAAGCTTTCAATTAATCATGTTATTTATGGATAATTTGTGATTTGCATCAATTTTCTTGAGTTTTCTATATTGGTGTTGAACAATTTGTATAGTTAATTTGTGATTTGCTTTAATTTTCTAGAATGGTGTTTTATGTATGGATAATTTGTATTGAGAGATTGATATTTGACTTTAATTTTGATAGGAATTAGTTATTGTGAATTTTTTACGACAAAAACCCGTGGATACCCATGAACCCGCGGATACCCAGCGTGTTGGTTTGGGTTTGAGTTTTTCAAACCCAGTGAGTTTTATCCCGAATTTTTTCACGGATAAACCCATAAATTTGGATTTGGGTTAGGCAAAACTCGAACGAACCCTACCTACCTATTGCCATCCCTGGTTGAAATCCACCGTTTGGTCGCAAAGGTGCCGCCGCCGACAGGAAAAGATCGGCGATGTCTATCCTTTTGTCCAACTTGGTGATATGGATAGATGTGTAGTCCTGCTTTGGCAAATTTTGGATTATGGAAGCAATCCACTTGCTTAGCTCAACTGGAACGACTTCTTTATTAGGTTAGCTAAATTGTCATTGTGGAAAACTAATGACAACTTAATAGCTTGTATTTAATAGTGGATTGATATCATCACCCTTATAAAAAAAAATGGTGGATTGAGATGAATAACATTTGTATAGATTTTTCAAAATATCGTCTTATTTGTGCATGCATTTTTTGGAGGGACGAATTATGGGTCATGAATTTGTCTTTTAAATTGAATCAAATTCGGAATTATTTATAACTTGGTATGATCAAAAGATACAAATGTCTAACAAATTTTATAACAATACGCGATAATTTAGGATTATATTTTCGAATACGTGGACTCGTCGAGAATCCGTCACAAAAATACCAAGTCGAACATTATAAAAAAAACTACAAATTAATGAATCAATTCGTCCAAACCCACACCTCATAATAAATTTTTCGACCTGAACCCGACCGTATGAGTATCGGAATACCTGCACTAACCTGCCCTTCTCACTCCCAATCACAAACCAAAATTACCCTAATGCATTTGACATCCACCTTAGCAAAGCACTTCAGTCTTCATGTTCCTTGCTTTTTCCCCACTAAACCCAAATTTCCCCTTTATAAACATGTCCAGATTCCAGAACCCACACTTCATTTGGCAAGAGCCTCCAACATCGCTCTGCATGCAAAACAGAAAGAGGAAGACAAAAGCATTACCCTTCCCCCCCCCCCCCCCCCCCCCCCCCCCCCCCCCCCCCCCAACATTTCTTTTGCCGAAAACCCACTTCAGCTTTCAATCCTCTCCTTATTTCCCCTCTCGTCGCTGATTTAACTATTGAATCACTTGTAAGGGCAGCAATGTGCATAGCAGCTTTCCTGTGGCAAGCGCACCCGCTGTATCCTCTGCTTCTCGTGCAAAACAGAGATGAATACCACAACAGGTAACCACTACTGAATTTTACTTCTCCAAAGCTTCTTCATTTGTAAATTATGATTTGTATATGAAACTATATTGTGCTAACGATGATGGGTTTGCTTGTTTTAGGCCGACGGCAGCAGTGGAATGGTGGGCAGCGTACGAGGGAATTGGTATTTTAGGAGGAAGAGATGCTGTGGCTGGTGGAACGTGGATGGCTTGTTCAAGAGATGGCAGAGTGGCCTTCCTCACTAATGTTCTGGAGCTTCATTCCATCCCAAAAGCCAAATCTCGTGGGGAGCTCCCTGTTCTTTTCCTCCTGGTAAAACATGGATGAATATATATACATACTGGAATCAGTTTTGTTCATGTTGGAGTCTAGAAGATGAGTTTTTGTCATATTTGCAATGCAGAGTTCTAAGAGTCCGAGGGAATTTGCGGAGGGATTGGCGAAGGAGGCTCATTGCTACAATGGGTTCAACTTGATTCTCTCAGACATTTCGTCGAACACCATGGTGTACATCTCCAACCGGCCGAAAGGTGAAGCTGTTGTCGTTCAGGATGTTTCTCCTGGCCTCCATGTCCTCTCCAATGCAAAGCTCGACTCTCCCTGGCCCAAGGTCAGCTTTCTTGTGTCTGCTTTTGCTGATTCCTTCTCTTAATTTCGGAGTCAAAATGGATTGACAGTGGATGGATGGAGGAAATTAAATTGCAGGCGCAGAAGCTGGGGCAGGGCTTCAAGGAACAGCTAGTGAAGTATGGAGAAGGGGAAGTTCGTGTGAAGGAGATAGCAAAGAAGCTGATGAGGGACAGAGTTAAAGCTGACAAAAACAGGTTGCCTGGCATTTGCTCTGTGGATTGGGAGTTGGGTTTGAGCTCCATTTTCGTTGAAGTTGACACCCCATTGGTAAAAACCATCATTAACTTATACGCTTTTGATTGCTCGAGATACAAGAATCGACGAGAACATAAGTCACATCGAATTATTGATAATTGGTAGTCCTCTACCGATACATAGTCTTTAACAATGTGTTATGACATCGCCATTAAACAGTTGGGCTCGTCGATTAGGCATGTGGGAGCTATTAGGTGATAACTAATCTCGTGTGGGTTGATCATTTCAGGGACGTTACGGCACGAGGAGCACTATTGCTTTGGCTGTGGGGAGAAATGGGGAAGTTGGCTTTAACGAGACCTACTTGGAAGATGGAACATGGAAGGAGAAAACTGTGAATTACAGAATCCAAAGCCAGAAGCTCAGGCAGCTGATGAACATTTGATTCGAGTTACTCAACACTACTGCATCGTACTAAATAACAGAGACTGAATCGTTGTTCATCGCCCTAGAATTTAAATTTTATCGCCCTAGAAACTTGACCTCAAGTCCTGTTTGTAACCTGTGTATATGCAGTGGCGTAGACACTTGAGGTCAAGAAAGATCTTTGAACCATTTTATATAAAATATATATACTGCGTAGACACTTGAAGTCAAGAAAGATCTTTGAACCATTTTATATAATATATATATATATATATTAGCTTTTTTTAATGTGATTGTGGATTGAAATAAGATTTTATTTATTATTGTAAACAACTTTACGAAAAGTGAGTATTTTGTGATCTCAATTTAACTTCAAATTAACATATTTTGTAAGTGAGTTTATATAAATCAAAACTCAAAATTTAGTGTCGTCTATAGCTAATTTGCTATTAGTTGTTTTTGCAAATGTTGAAAGAACATGTAGTGCAATGAACAACGTGAAGAAACACTTCAGAATTAAAGGATGAAAATTGAAATCATAAATGATTTTTGGATAGGATATCTTAAGAATGTCATCCCCAATAGCAGCACCACATTATTTGAAGGAGGGTTCATAGCCCTCTCTCAACTCTTAAAATTATATAAATTTCCATGTGAATTTTGTAATAAATTTGAAAATAGAGTAATTGGTAAGGTTCTACCTCCTCCATTTCCTAGTTTAAATCCATAGAACATAAATTTTACCCCGTTCGTTCATATTTCGGACTACAGCACTTGTCATCTCTTATAATTTGGAGTACCGATGTATTTTAAAAACTTTTCAATATGAGAATACATTTAAGAAAGTTTTTTTTTTTCCTTTTGTTTGTGCCTTGTCTTTCGTCAACAAACGGTGGATTAAAAGGATTCATTAATTAACGAGAAACAAATTAAAAAAAGGTCCATAGGGAATATTTTGTTCTGCCGAGGACCGCAGAAGATGTGTTGGCAAAGCTGGTAAGTCTGCCGGCCTGAGCTATATCCGGCGCCCCTTCCGTTCCGTCTTAGAATCCGGCCGGATTAGTCAGGTTCAGATACAGCTATAGCTACTTTCTCTATTGCCTATTGTGATATGAGGGCTACGCATGATTATGAATTTAGGGTGGAAAAAAATAGAAGAATATCGGTTGTAAACCTAAACCACGGTTGAAGTGTTGAAATGCGATAGTACCAGTAATCAACTTGTTAGGAACACAATGATCACACAACTTAATTTCGAGTCATTAACGTAATTTAAGGTTTATTAGATCGCATGGTGATGAAAATTATCCATATACGAGAAATGGGGCTCAAGATATGGGTTATGCACTCATCAATAACCAAATCTAGATCTTCATTTAGAAAATTCAGATTTAAGGATGGTTTGCTTGTTGGGTTTGAAAAATGAGGGTTTTGGCCAACAAAAACCATGGGATTTATGTTGGATTTATTGGATTATGGATTTGAAGAGTCTAATGTTTGCATGATAGATTTGATTGTGGATTTGTGATGGATTTGTTAAATAAATAACTAACCATTAAAGATTTGCAAATACCAAATCAATATGTGAGATTTACAAGTCCATAAGGTCCACGGATTTGGTTCAAAAATAAAGACCAAATCCGTGGACCCCACGGATTTAGCATCCTTCAACAAACAATGGACTTATGTTAAATCCATCAAGCTTGGGATTTGGGTCCAAATCCATGACCCAAATCCAACAAGCAAACGACAAAAGTCTTTTTTATTTTCCCTAACTTTCTTAATCGGCTCATATCTTTTTCGTTTTAACACGGATTTTAATTTTTTTTGCACAGATGAACGACTTCATCGTGCTCTACAAAATGAGATCAATTTTCAATATTTTTTGAGAAAAAAATTCTGGCCTATCGGTACCAACTGCATACCATATGGTATCTTCTTCGTTTTTAATTCGTTTTTGAAAACGTTTGCACAGAAGGGACGAGTTCATCATGATCTATTGGATCTACAAATTTCTGGATGAACAAATTACATGACCAAAAATACCACACAAATTTCTGGATGAACAAATTACATGAACAAATTCACGTTTGCCACCCAAATTACTTTTCTTTCATATTAGCCACTAACTTTACGATTTGTTTCACCGTTAGTCACAGCCTCCGTTAACACCGTTAGTTATCTGATGGCATGGCAAAAGAGAGTGCTGAGTGGACTGACAAAAAGCTAAGTCACACAAGTTGACCGTCTAGTCAGCATCAATACCCAACCCATCTTCCTCCTTCCTTTCCCCAACCCAGATTTCCCATTTAAGAGACGCGTCCCCGGTTCTACCGCCGCCGTTGCCTTGCCACCATAGAACCCGACGTATCCTCTCCTCTCACACTCGATTTCCTCCATTACTAGTAAAACCTTTCCCTTTCCATATCCCTATCCCTATCCCTAATCCATCACTTCGAAACATAAATCCCCAAAATCGGCAGAAGGAGAACGGTGGCGAAAAGCACCACAAGTGGCGAATTACCTTAGTCAGGAGTTCACCCTCGATTCCGCCGCCGTCTTATTGCGACCCCCTTTCCCACCAGTAGTCTCTTTCCCACCTGGCTCCGACCCTCATTGGAATCGCCGGCCAAATCTGAGAGCTCTGGTTTCTTCCTCTCTCGATTGGAGGCGGCTTCAAGGGGAAGCGGAACTGTAAGTTAAGCGGCGAGGCGAGGGGAATCGAAAGCGGCGCGACCGTTATTTCCGTCGTTGTACAGGGGAATTGAAGGCGGCGTAGCAGTCTGAAAATGCAGAGTCGACCCTATCTAAGTTGTTCTTGACTACAACGCGGAGTCGAATTCGATTTGGAGTCGACCAAAGGCCGATTTGGGAGTTCTGGGTAGAAGAAAAGACCATTGTGGCTCGAACTGCAGGCATGAACTGCTCCCGCCGGCGGACCCCAAGCTTTCAGTTAGGCGAAGCTGTTCAATCTTGTCGTTGTTCCGATTTGGATTTTTTGGGCGAACTGGATAATTAGATTGAATTGTTGGTGGAGATGAAGATTATGTTGGCGACGATGATCATTTGTGGCGAAGATGGATAATGGTGGGGATGATTATTATATTATTGTTTGGCTATTGATTATTGATTCTTGTTGCCGATGATGATTACTGGTGGTGGCAGTGGATTATGTTGTTGTTGTTTTGTTTTTACTTGGACAAATTGGAGAGGACGCGTGGGTGAGGCTCGGTGAGAATGAATGGTAAATTATTATTTTATTATTTTATAATTTACATGCCATTAAGTTAACGGTACAGTCAGCAATTCTGTTTGCCATGCATTAAAAAATTAACGGAGCTAACGGAATCTTACGGCTGGTGACTAACGGTGAAACGAATCGTAAAGTTAGTGGCTAATATGAAAGAAAAGTAATTCAAGTGGCAAACGTGAAAGATTTATATAATTTGGGTGACCAAACGTGTAATTTAGCCCTTTTTTAGCTTCTAGAATCTATTTCTTAGTTCGAGTTACGAAAACTTCTGGATAGGTATCCTACATCTTAATTGAATTTTTTCTTGTTAAAGAATCTTTTTCTAGTTGCTCTGGAACAATTAGGATATTTTCTAGAAGAAATGGACCGGACCAATATTGCATTATGTAAATTTTGTCTGGTTCGATCCTGTCCAAATATCAATTCAGTCCATTTTTCTTCAATATTTATAAATTCCATGTAATCAAGGATCATACCATATTATATTCGGTTCGGTATGAGTCGGTCTAAACGTTGGTTTGTCATTGCACACCTATAAATTTATAACTATACGTAATGGGAAATGATAGGGTTACAAAACAATTTTCTATCAAATCCTACAAACTCTATGTAATACCACCCTAATACGATCATATCAGTGGGTGGTATGATTCGTATCAGATAGGGGTGTGCAATAGGTTGGTCCTTACCCGATTATATCGAACCAAACCAACGTTTGGACCGAACCATACCTAAGCGAATATAATGTGGTCAGGTCTTTGATCCTGTGAATTTTATAAATACTGAATAAAATAGACCGAATTCACGTTTGGATTGGACCAAATTGAACTGAATGCAATAATGGTCTGGTCTTTGATTCTAAGATGTCTTTCACTATTGGATCGCGATCCTCATGAATTTGGTTAGGTACAGACCGGACCGTTACACACGGTAAGATACGGATTTTAAAAGTTTTGTAGCCCTGAGTTTTGTACCGTAATCAAGCTCATACTTAATTACTTTTATATATATAAAAATATTTAATATGTCAAGATCTAAACAGAAATAATTAATTACCGTAGTTAGGGGAAAAAATTACCATAAATTCCCAACTACAATTTTCTTACCATAAAAGACCCAACTACTAAAGTAGGTAATTAACTAAGTTCAGGGTGTCAGAGATAATTAGAGTCAATATATAAACGATGAAGCTCGTGCTCGCTCACAGTCCCAATAACTACTGCTTTCTTTGGACACACGCATTTGGCATTGTCATAACTTCAATAGTGTGTCGGTATTCTATTATTCTTTCTCCGGCCGTATATATGAATGATATTTTATTTCCCATTCCAAAGCTCCCTCATATACTGTCCAGAACGACAGAACCACTTCATTGCTACCAAACAGCTTCCCCATTTCTGCATGCGAAAACACGGAAACAGAAAATGTGCATAGCTGCTTTTTTGTGGCAAGCTCACCTGCTCTACCCTTTGCTTCTCTTGCACAACAGAGATGAATACCACAACAGGCAACTCTCTATTTTCCCTACTTCTTCCTTTTTTATGTAATGTAAACTTGTGTACGTGCTAAGTAGGTTCGTAACCGAATAGAAATATTGGACTCTATTCGGTGAACCGCACATGCTCTCATGAGTTTGGCTCGTAACTGGTTGATATATGGATTACTGCAAGCCTACAACAGCAGCAGAGTTGTGGGGAGGAAGCGAGGAAATGGAGGTTCTCGGGGGAAAGGATGGTGTGGCGGGAGGGACATGGTTGGCTTGTTCAAGAGGAGGAAGGGTGGCCTTTCTCACCAATGTTTTGGAGCTTGAGCCTTTCCATAACGCCAAACCTCGTGGAGAGCTCCCTGTTCTTTTTGTTAGAGTGTGGTATAAGATCCAGCAGAACCTTCTCCCAACAACTCGAGTTATTGGGATCAACTGGTTCTTGACATGGTATCAGAGCCTTCTGTGACCGAGAGGTCTTGTGTTCGATTCCTGGTAGCCCCCATTTGTTATAGCACATGGTATTAAACCTGTGCAAACTTCAATCCCTTGTGAGTGGCTTTCGTTTGAGGGGGCGTGTTAGTGTGTGGTATATGATCAACTGGTTCTTGACATGGTATCAGAGCTGGTTTGGCCAAGTGGCCGTGTGTTCGAATCTCCACGACCCCCAATATTAACAGTTGAGTAAAGCACAAGGTATGGTGGGCCTGTGCAAACTTCAAGCCCATAACTTGGCTTTCGTTTGAGGGGGCGTGTTAGAGTGTGGTATAAGATCCAGCATAACTTTCTCCCAACAACTCGAGTTATTGGGACCAACTGGTTTATGACATGGTATCAGAGCTGGTTAAGAATTTGATTGATATCATATTTATAGAGTGACTTCTGCATTAGGGCTTCCAATGAAATAGAGCATGAAAAAAGGATTCAAAATGAGACTGATGAAACTCATGTGATCGTATTGCTTTTGGCAGAGTTCTAAGAGTCCTAGGGAGTTCGGGGAGGGACTGGGGAATGAGGCTCACCACTACAACGGGTTCAACTTGATTCTCTCGGACATTTTGTCGAACACCATGGTGTACATTTCCAACCGGCCAAAAGGGGGAGCTGCCGTCGTCCATGGCGTTTCTCCTGGCCTCCATGTCCTCGCCAACGGGAAGCTCGACTGTCACTGGCCAAAGGTTCCCTTTCTGTTTATTTTTTTCTTCCCCCTTTTCTCCATTACATCCAAGGGGTTGATTGTTGAATGCAATTGCAGTCGCAGAAGCTGAGAATGGGTTTCAAACAACAGCTACTGAAGTATGGAGAAGGTGAAGTTCATCTGAAGGAGATAGCCAAAAAGCTAATGAAGGACAGAGTGAAAGCTGACAAGAACAGGCTGCCTGGAATTTGTGCTATGGAATGGGAGCTGGATTTGAGCTCCATTTTTGTGGCGACACACCACTGGTAAAAGTTGTGGAAGATTAAGTCGAACGGGTACAACAAAGTATTTCTGTAACGATATCGTTAACTAACAACTAATTTGTGTGGGTTTCACTTTCCAGGGATGGTGTGGCACTAGGAGCACTATTGCTTTGACTGTAGAGAGAAATGGTGAAGTATGCTTTGATGAGACCTACCTGGAAGATGGAACATGGAAGGATAAAACTTTTTATTACCAGATCCAGAACAAGAAGCTCAGACAGCTTAATGATGACTTTGCTAATTGCTTCAACAAACCTACAGTCGATCTATAAAAGTAAACTGATCAGAATATAACAATTGCGAGACTGTAACTATCTGTTACACTCCAGGGATCATGAACGATCTACAAGCATTTAATCCGAGTAACATGTATAGAAGCAGCTTTATCTGCAAACTATGCAATGGGATGGACGAAAATCCATTGCCATATAAGACTTCCCTCCGGAACTTCTTACTCTGCAATACACGCGATGCATTCCAATCTCTCCAACTACATTTCTCTTCTCCTAACAGCCTCTGCAGCATTCAATATCAATACACAGAGTACATCATTCAGCAAACGCTAATCTGCAAACATTCAATATCCATTACCCAAAATTATATGGAGTTATTACATATATTGATGAATGATTTCCAGGCTTATGGTCTTGCAGTTCACATTCTTCGTCGTTCCTGAACTCCATCGATGTCATTCCACAGGTCCAAAGCGGCTGCTCAACTCATTGCACGATGGATTCTATTCTCAAGGCGATCATTTGTGAATGGCCAGGGGAAGTTTCAGTCATGATTCCTGCACTTTGTTTATAAAACCTTTATGGAGCGAAAAAAGTGCCAAAGCTACTCTCCCAATCTTATGTTGCTTAACAGGTTCATTGCCAGTGAAAGCATCGCATACATTTAGCAAATACCAAGCTAACTCAACCATAAGATCCACCACACAACACAAGAAAGAAAAACTTCAATCCAATTTAAAATAGCTCCAAGTTCAAATCTTTCGAAAGAAAGTTCATAGAATGCACACTAACAACAACCCTTTACGAACAAATGGCAAATATTTGCAAAGAGTGGAAGCCCGGGGAAGAGCATCAACTAGAGTGAATTTGTCAACAATACTTACCTGAACGTTCAGAGATCAAGTGTAAACCATCATTTGCCGCTCCCCCAACTTCACACAATGAATTTTCAACTCTAAAAGACTAAACCCTAGAAACCCAAAGCACAGTTCGCAAAACACACAAACCCTACCTCGGAAGAAAACCAGCACCATTACATATCCAGACAGAGAGAAAGAAAATCACAGACGCAGGTTCAGCAATAAATATACATTAGAGAGCACCTGGAGGCTGGAGATGAGGGATTAATTGGAAGTTCGATTTCTTGCAATCCCATGGCTTTCAGCTGAGACAGGGAATCTGGCGGCATAAATGGTTTATTTCCGCCGGGAAAGGAGATGGAAAGAATAAAGCCCATGTTCGGCCCATTATTGTCCGAGTGGGGAGGGAAAATATCTGGCTGGCGGTGGCAGATGTTTTATCGCCCAAATAAATAAACAAATGACAGGTCGTGGCCGATACAGTAGGATCCTTTTTTTCCGTGAGTGAATTTTCCTTTTAAAGAAATGAATCGCTATTTGTCGCCCGTAGTTTTACTATTTGCCGCCCGTAGTTATAAAAAACATGACGATTTTGCCTCTGCCTCATTTTAAAACCCTAAACCTAACTACCCCAAGTCCCACCCCTCCCTTATGCTGCCTTCACTTCCCACCCCTGCTGCTCACCGTCGGCCGCCGCCACTACCTCCCTCTACCGCAAAGCTCCGCTGCCGCCAACCTCCCTCTGCCGAGCTCCGCCCAGGAGAAGCCGCCGCCGCTAGGAGAGCCGCCGCCCCATTCCCTCTGTCGATCTCGGCCGCAACCGCCCAGGAGAAGCCGCCGCCGCTGTTCCATTCGTCCCCGCTGAGATTTTTTTTTAATTCGTTCTCGCCGCCGTCCGACATGTCGGATAGGACGCGGTCCGCCTGGCCGGCGCCCTGACAGAAGCGGACGCGGTCCGACAGGTCTGGTCGGACCATGCCCGCCCGATTTGGTCGGACCCCGCCCGCCCGTTCTGGTTGGGTTTCTGATTTGGTTTAAATAAATTTTTATTATATTTATTTTAAATACAATTGTTAGTGTATTTATTAGTTTAATATTGATAGTTGAATAATTATTCTATAATTTTCAATTATATAATTAGTATATAATTGTTAATTATATATTGTGTTAGTTTATTAATTGTTTAAGTTGAAATAATTATTTAAAAAACTATCTATCGTATTGAGTAAAGTAATTATCTAGTTAAATAATTAGATAACCAAGTTGTATGTATCATAATTAGTAATTGATAAATTATGACTATGAACAAATTGCTAATCAAGTAATTTAATATAAGAGATTAATAGATAATTATTGACTATGTTAATAGATAATTTATTATAATAATTATCTAAATAATTATTGGACTAAATAAATTGTAAATAATTTTTAATTTTAAATAATTATCTATGATGTTTTAGTTAAGTAATTGAGTAAGTTGAAATAAATATTTAAATAACTACCTATCGTATTAAGCAAAATAACTATCTAGTTAAATTAATTAGATAACAAATTGTATATATCATAATTACTCTATGAAACAACAAGTAATTGCTCAACAAATAATTTATTATAAGATATTAATAGAAAACTATTGACTATGTTTAGAGATGGTGTCACTTGGTAATTCTAGAGGATCACGTAGTTCTGGAGGAGCTGCAAAGAGATTGAGAAGATTCATTGGGCGTAACATTAGCGCTAGTGTGAGAAATAGGGACCCAAATGATAGAGATGAGCCACAGCCACAGCAACTAGTGACACCGATGAGTTTGAGGGGAGACGGTTTTCCTCAGTTTGATTTTCAGATGCCTAGTATGGCTGGTAGTGGAGCTGGTCCCAGTCGTGATCATGCTTCACCGTTTGAGCCTTCAGACGAGATTGATGACGAGTCGGAGGAGTATGACTCGGATGGTGTTGAGTATCACATTCTACCAGTCAGTCCGATCAGAGACAGAGGTGCCCCCAGCGGATCGTCACATATCATTACTGGGGTTCATGTTGTTATTGGGATCTATAGAGACCATGTGGGGCGTTTCTATAGAGCTCCACAACCTGGTAAGGGCCAGAGTGGTACTGCTGATGTGGGAGAGGCCTGGGAGCCTAGAGGACCGTGTCTTGGAGGGCCGAGCGACCCGAGTTTGCTCCGTAGCTTTTTTGGGCATGTTGCCCACCGTCTGTACACTAGAGAGGCTGATAGAATGGTGATCACTTGCTATGACAGGAGTTCGACCCTTCGCCACGTTCTCGACGGTTATGTGATAGCAGATGATAACACTAGGACTACCGTAGAGACAGCGGGCCTTGCTCACCTCGTTGATATCACCTTCCAGAGCGAGCTTGACCCTGCTCTCGTCTCGACATTTGTGGAGAGGTGGCAGCCGGATACCAACACCTTCCACATGCCGTTTGGAGAGACTATGATCCTCCTTCACGACGTGGCACACATTATTGGGCTTGCGGTTGAGGGAGAGGCGATGGTAGTGGATCCGAGGCAGTTGGAGAAGTGGGCACTGGAGACTGACATCCGAGGCACTGGAATGTGACGACTCAACCCTGTTTGTGCTCGTATTTCCTAGATGAAACACATTTTTGGTATGACAAACTGCCCACTTTTCTCGATGTTGCCACCACACTCCCTGTATGTATTGCAACAGACGTGGTTCAAAATTGCCCCATCTTGTCCTAAAGCGGCCAAACGCGGCCAACATATCTTGCTCGGACCAAGAATAAAGCATATGACACCAATATTGATCGTACGCCTCGTTGACCAAATCCATCATGTCCTTCCCAAATATTTCCAAACACTTCTTCTGCACATTGGTGTTGATGTGCCAAACACATAGCAAATGCGGGGTACGGGGGAAGACCACAAAACCGTAGCAAGTAGTCCACCTTTGTGGTCGGTGACGATGACAGTGGGCACGCGTGGATGGAGAAATTGTTGTATGCACTCCAACAGCCACAGATACGACTCTTTTGTCTCATCCTTCATGAAAGCACAACAGATGTTGAAATTCTTCCCAACTGGAGTAGCACCTACGACCTCCACCCACGGTCATTTATATGCATTGGTCTTATACGTTGAGTTGATCAGAATCACGTACGGCCAAGCCTCCAACATCTAGATGGAAGTTGGATGAGCAAAAAAAAGATGTGTAAGCACGTCGTTATCGTCCTTCATAACCTCTGTATGATAATTCTCACGTTCAGCTGCTTGCAACGCATACTGCACTGCATTAATCTCGTCTTTCCTAGACTTGAACCCGAGGTTATACATCTGCCTTTTGGTGTGATGCCCTTTCTCACCCTTCTGCTTGTTTATTGTTTGCTTCTGTTGCGACGGAGGTACCCCAACATCTCTCATCTGCTTCAGAGATTCTTTATCCTTCTGACTCAATTTATTCATTTGACTGTGGCCCTCGGGATAAAGCATCTTCTCATGATTGTGATACCCTCGCCTTAAACCGGTTTCTTGCTCAATCACTGCTTGTATCTCCCAGAATGAAGGTCCATCAAGAGCATCTTGAACTTGTATTGCCACGACTCTCCTTGGAAGGATCCAGCTTGTATGACTTCCTCTCCCTACTGCATTTGTCGCAATACATATAACACATACCCAATGCTCTATTGTTGCGCAACTCACGTGGCTTCATCGATCCCTTAGTTACAAAGAAACCAAGAGACATCGCGATGTTTTTGGTCACTTTTACAGCATCTTCGAAATTGTCATATCGGACGCCATTGAGAAAATGGTCTGTGTAATCACCAATTAGTTCAACAATGTAAGCCATGTCCACCTGCAATTATGATTTCACAACTCGTTAGAAAGGTACAAATTATATGATTCTACAAAATTAAACTAAATTGATTAACTCTACAAAATAAAAATAATTTGACGATAATAAATTTAATTAAATATAAATTATTAAATCAAATTAGCTCTACAAATTAAATCTAAACACAATAAACTAATTACCGCTACAACAAAACACAATCATTAATTAAACTAATTGTGCTTCAATTGACTCTATAAAATTAAACTAGATGCAATAATTTAATTAACTCTAAAAAATAATGATAATTTAACGATAAGAAAATTATTTAAATATAAATTATTACGCTTCTTTAGCTCTACGAATTAAATCTAAACACAATAAACTCATTAGCGCTACAACAAAACACATTACCGCTTCAATTGACTGTACAAAATTAAACTAAATGCAATAATTTAATTAACTCTAAAAAATAATGATAATTTGACGATAATAAAATTATTTAAATATAAATTATTAAACTTCTTTAGCTCTACGAATTAAATCTAAACACAATAAACTAATTAGCGCTACAACAAAATACAATCGCTTAATTAAACTAATTGTGCTTCAATTGACTCTACAAAATTAAGCTAAATACATTTATTTAATTAACTCTACAAAATAACGATAATTTGACGGTAAGAAACTAATTAGCGCTACAACAAAATACAATCACTTAATTCAAACTACATATGAATTTAAATATGTAAAATAGAAATAAAATCAATAAGCTAAATATAAATTAGCTCTAGAATTAATAATATGTCTCAAATTCTTTTTTTTTTTAAAACATTCGCCGGCGTCGGGCGCCTTCCGAAGACGGCGAGCGGACGGGAAAAAAAAATTACAGGCCACGAGGAGGTCAGTCACGGGGGTTTACTTGATTCGTTGGTCCGACGATGGGGTACGGCTGCCGTCCAGTGGCCGGCGAATTATGCTGACGAGATTGTTCTGGTGGCCGGCGGCTTAGGTTGTCGTTGTTAGTGTTGTGGTATATGATCCACGATTGAACCTCTCCCAACAACTCGAGTTATTGGGAGCAACTGGTTCTTGACATGGTATCAGAGCCTTCTGTGACCGAGAGGTCTTGTGTTCGATTCCCGGTGACCCCCATTTGTTAAGCACATGGTATTCTTGTCTTCAGACCTGTGCAAACTTTAAGCCCTTATGAGTGGCTTTCGTTTGAGGGGGCGTGTTAGTGTTGTGGTATATGATCCACGATTGAACCTCTCCCAACAACTCAAGTTATTGGGAGCAACTGGTTCTTGACAGTCGTCCGGTGGCCGTGAATCTGGCTATGGTGTTTGTGGGGGTTGGTGGTCGGGTGGTGTATGTTGTTTAAAAAACCATTTCAGCGAATAGAATATAAAGAAAACTTTTGAGGGCAAAATTATCTTTTTAGTGTTTTTTACGGGCGGCAAATAGTAATTACCCGGACGGCAAATAGTAACCCTCTGAAAGAAAGCTGGTTAGCTTCAATTGGCAACGAAAAATAAATAGATAATGGTAAAAGGAATGGTGGTCCTTGTAACCTTCAAATGACGAGAGACACCCACCCACCATTGGATCTAACACGTAAGCAATGATCTAGAGACAGTGATTAGTGGTGATTTCCCCATTAATCTTCTAATGTAATAAACTAATAATACTGTTGTCATATTCTAGGAACGGTGGTGTTGGAAACTCGATTACAACTCTCTCACTTAGGGTTGGGACAAAAAGGGTATTAAAATAGGGCAAACGCAATTGGGATTTCTTTGAAACCGACAGATTATCAATGTTTTGTAGGCCTTGCATTTGAAAGTCTTGCAGTTTGTTTACATTGAAGGTTGGGGAGATACCAAAGAGGGAAAACTAGAACAATGTATTTGTCAAATCCAATTCAATTCTAAATTATGTAGGTAGTAGGTTATCATAACATAGAGGGTTGGATGAATAAGTGTTGATGGGCAATATGAGAAATCCATCATATTGTAAGTTCAAGATGTTTGGTTGGGTTTATTCTCAACTCCACTTATTTTTCTGGATGACAAAAAATCAGTAGAGAGGAAGAACAAAGAGGTAAAATAAAGAAGGCTAATTGTGATGGGAAGCGTATGTGGGGATATTTATTTGGCTGAAACTCGATTTGAGTGAACTTTTTCCATGTTGATGAACTTGATTCGATAAATACTCACAAACAAAGTTTGTCATGATGAACGTAAGCTCGACCCGAGATGAGCTTGACTTGAAATGTTATTTTGTTAAAATATGGTTGTAGACACCACATTTTGTCCGGGACAACCACTATACTTAAACTCAAAAGAAAGAAAATTATAACGATAAATTAAATAGAATGCTTGGGAGGAATTGATTTGAGTTAGCAATTGCAAGTTAATAAGTACTAATGATGTCCAAATTCACTTTTATTTAGTTCCAATATCAATTCGGCTGAGACTAGCAGTGGCAAGTCTATAAATACAAAAAGATTATCGAGTCCCACTCATTTAATTCTAAGGATAAATTAGCTAGGTTTATTAACTTAATATCATAGTTTACTAATGTTACCAAATTTGGTTTGAAGATTGCTGAGATAGGAGTAGAACAAACAACAGTATTCCTAATTTTGTTGAGGTTAAATATATTACAAAATTCCAACTTTGCTTTTCCATAAATTATAAATGGGTGTGAGGGGATGGACATCTAGAATGCTTGGCACTAGAGTTTGAGATTTTGACTTCGAGTTGTCCAAATTTTAAACATGCTATTGATCTCATTTGAATTTGACACAAGTAGAATAAACAATTAAAAAAAGTCATCTTTACGAAGCTATAATTTTCTACTTGTTACATTCGAGGCCTTCATAAACTCAAAGCAGGGAAGTAAATAGATAAACCCATCTCTTTGGAAGCCTCATACCGGACCAGAAAAATCTGCAAAAAAGGAGAATAAAATAATTAGTATGAAACCCAAACTCAAACAGCTAAACCCAATTAAACCCCATAAATTTCAGCCCATCTCTGGTCAAACTTAGACCATCCCAAGTCAACTATCCCTTATCCATCTCCAATGGATAGCAGAAATTGCCACCGTCCTAGGGAAGTAGGGGGCAGCTACCTCTCAAAAGACACTCATTAGTAATCACACATACCAACACACCAAAAACAATTAACAATAGAGCAAAGAACAATATACAAAAGGGCTACTTACAACAAAGGAAAGGGGACGGCCATTCTGGAAGAGGGTTTCGGTTCCAAAAAATAGAGGAGAACAAAGCAGAAAAACGACAGCAAGCTTGACAAAAGGAAGAAAGCATTATTAGAAGCTAAAAGAGAAGCAGCACCGAGGAGAAGCTTTGAATAAACCCAGGCAGAAAGATCAAACGAGGGCAACAAGCAACTAGATTCACATCACAAAGAACCACTCGTCATAGTCTAGGTTGGTATTTCTCAAGTCCAAACACATTCATATTGTCCTTTGGCAGGAATATTCATTCATCTCAACATACAAAGCATATCTAAAAGTAGAGACGAATATACCTCGTGGTAGATTTGTATGTGTATGGTGGAGTAATATGTATAAGAGATCTACTCTTGTTGTTATTTAATCTAACTTATGCTAATAGATCTGACACAAGAAAACTGACCTAGCATAAGGAAACGTATCTAACATATATACTACCCACAAAAGCATTTACAAACATCATATTTGTGTTCAATTGGCTACATTTGTTAGTGTTCTTGTTACTGCTTTTCATATTTCATTATCTTGTGATCAAGTCGGTTTACATGAACTATACCGATATCCATGAAAAAGAATAGACAAGTAGCATTTTTCACGTGCCTCTAGTCACACAAAAGTAGTTACTAAATAGGAAAACTTAACCCCACAGTCGACCCATGATAATCATAGCATAAGAAATAAGTTAATCGCAAACTAGGAAGAGCTGAAGTTTCTGTTTTAGTCATGAGCAGTGGCTTTGACTTTAGGTTATTGTAAGGCCCTTTTAATCGATAGGACTTAATAAGCAACAAGTGACCCAAAATATCGAAGTAAACCGAATACAACTACCCCAAACTCGAGTCAAAACTTTATTTTTTCATTCTGAAATCACAAGCAGTGGTTGTGACTTTCAACACTTGCGATTTTCTGAATCTACAAACTCGGCCAGCAGTTATCTTAAACATTTTAATCTAGATCTTAGCAACACTAGCGGTTTTCTGAATCTACAAACTCGGCCAGCAGATTAAGGAATTAATTCCTAGCTAATTAGAACTCAGAACCCGAAACCCGTTAAAAGCCATATTCCATTTTCAATTTTTACCTTTTAATAATACAAGGTCGTGAGATGGGAGAACATCACTCAGATCTCGACCTCCTCTAACCTGCATTCCAACCCAATCAGTAGTGTTAGATTTCAATCCCGAAGAAATTAACAAAATAATCTAACCAAAACCGCATTGATTAAACTTACCGAGAGAAGGGATAAAAGAGTCCCGGATTGAGTCTCTTGTCACGCTACTGCTGCTGCCTCCACGCCGGTGGGGTTAGCCCTCGCCTTTTTCTCATTCCAAAACAGAAAACACGGAAAGGAGAGTGAAAAATATAAAAATTTAAAAGAAAACCTCAGAATCGAACTAAAAATAAACTTGCATGTCAAAGAAGGCTTACCAAAGGGATCTTCTCACCGCCGCTGCTCCAACTAGAAAAGCATATCGAGAGCTCCTCTTGGCTCAGGGTCGGTTTTCTGAAAATAAAACAACAAAACAAGGATTAGAACTCCGGAAAAAACCCTAAAACAGATTCAAAAATAGCAAAAATAGTACGAACCAAAAGAAAACGAACTCTAAGAACTTCATTCTAGTCGTCACTGGCGGCGCATGTCACCATTGACACCAGCGATGCATGTCTCCCAGTTGCCCTTTCTCCTTCTCCTCCCGCCGGGATCGAGTGCTCAGAGAAACCAAACAAAGAATCGAAGGGAGGCAGAATCGAGAGAGACTAAGGAGAGAGGAGGGTGTTTGTGCTCGTTTTTTCTCAGTTTTGAGTTGGTTTTGGCCGTCAGGAGGGATTAGAGGCGGTGGAGGTGGGGGGGGGGGGAATTGGTAATCGTCGTTTTCTCACAGAGGAAACGAGAGAGAGAACCCAAAAAAAACGGGAGGCAGAGAGAGAGGAGTTGAGGCGGCCAATTTAGGGTTTGTAGGATAGGGTTTGATTTTTCTTCTAAGAGATGCTTTTATACGGAAAAAAATCCCAAAGTACACTAGTTCTTAAAAAAAATTCTCAAAATACATAAGTTATAAAAAAAATTCCAAAACTACACATGTTTGGCATTCACCATTTTTGACAAACGCAGTGAATATAATCACCGTGTTTGTCAAAAACAGTGAACATTTCACCGTTTTAAAATAAAACGATGATGTGTTCACCATCTTTGTATAAAGCGGTGAAGTGTTCACCGCATTTAACAAAACGATGAAGACATCACCGTTTAAGTTAAAAGCGGTGAAAACGTCACCGTCTTAGGGCAAAGCGAGGAACATCTTCACCGCCTCAGGCTAAGGCGGTGATTATTTCCCACGTTTCCCAACCCTGGTAGGTGAAAATTAGATCACAACTACCTAATGTTCACCGTTTGACACAAACGCAGTGATGTTGTTCACCGTTTGAGACAAAGGCCGTGAATGCTGACCGATTTTCCTTTAAATACCACTCCCACCAAAAGTTGTAAAAATGCAATCCCTCCCCCCTCTTCAAATTTCAGCAGCCAAAACCGAGCAACATACACAGAACGGGAATTTTCGGTATGATTTAATTTTCGTATTAATTCCTAATGGTTGTTTTTAGTAGTTATATTGTTATGTTATGAATGACTTATCGTAGCAAATATGGCCGATGTTATGAATTACTGGAATTATGCTAATAGCTATTTATTGTAAATTGTAGGTATGGGTAAATTCAAGAAGTTTCAGCTTATTATTCGGTGGAATGGAAGGGTTACAAACTCTTACATAGGGATTGATTATGAGGACGGTGTATCCACTATGCTGAAAATTGAGTCGCGAATCAATTTTCAAGAACTCTGTAATATTTGTGCAGACAGGGTTTGTACGAGCGGACAGACAAGACTTGGTAAAATTAGTTACCGGTATCCATGTATGAGTACTGGCGGGCTTGTGTGCCAAGAAGTTGTCATAAACGATGATGACGCGGTTACGATGGTGTTACAGTTCCTAAGCGATAACAGGATGCGGCAAGCAAAGGTGTATGTTGAGACCGAGGCGGTTGGTGAAACTCATTCTCGCCAGTATTCTTATGATGATGGTTTTGCAGGAGGGTACAGATGGGGTGGTAGTTCGAGCAACTACGAAGGAGGTGGTTATACAGGAGGTTATGGAGAGGGTGGTAGTTCAATCAACTACGGTGGAGGTAGTAGTGCAGGATGGGTGCCATTGGAATAATACTCGCAATAGGATCAACCTGCCGATGGCGTTCAATGGCCTGCTTGGGGGCCTGAGTGGTTGATGTTTCACCGTCTTTTTTGGGCTTTCAAACCATGCATTGACCGGGTTTGTGTTCTGCATACCAGTCATTCAGGTATTTTAATACATGTTTACTATTTGAAATGTTTGTATTCTTGCAGACCAAGTAAATTTCATACTAATTACTTCCTAATATTTAATTAGGTTGATGGAACCTTCCTTACTGGGAAGTACAAAGGAACTCTTCTCATTGCCATTGGCGTTGATGGAAACAGGCGGATTTTCCCGCTTGCATTTGCAATAGTGGAAGGGGAGAACAGCTTAAGTTGGGCATGGTTCTTTGACCAACTACACGAACACGTGACACAGCGGGAGGGTATTACGATTATATCCGATCGACACGCGGGGATTAGGAATGACGTGGGTGGTTTTCCTGACGAGTGGGGATGGACATGGCGCTGGTGTATTCGACACAGGCTCGCCAATTTCAAACACAAATTTTGAAAGAAGAAACATCAAAAATCAATTGTGGCATGCAGGTACTAATGTCCTTTAATGCGAGTTAACTATGTGTTTAATAATTTGTTGTTTATCATGTATTGACCATTTTTATATTGTTCACCTTGCAGCGGTTGCACATCATCCAAAATAATTTTTATATTGTTCACCAAGCAGAAGATGAAGACGATCCGTCAGACCCACCGAGCTGGAGCAGTATGGGCTGAAGGTCAAGAGTTGGCCATGTGGACGTTCCATATGGACAACGGGGCCAGATGGGGCATTGCAACTACCAACCATGGAGAAAGTATAAATAATGTGTACAAGGGCCTTCGAGCGATGCCTATTTCTGTCATTGTGGAGATGTCATACTGGAAGGTCAACGAGTGGCGGGTAGGGATGGCAATGGGTCGGGTTGGGGCAGGTTTTGTCAAACCCAAACCCCTGGGTTTATCCGCCAAAAAAAACCCGGGGTAAAACCCGTTGGGTTTGAAAAACTCAAACCCAACCCAACCCGCTGGGTATCCGCGGGTTCATGGGTACCCGTGGGTTTTATGGTAAAAAATTTACAATAACAAGTTTCTTTCAAAATAAAAGTTTAACATCAATTTTCTCATACAAAAAACATCAATCTAGAGCATACAAGCAAACCGCAAATGATCAATACAAATTGTTCAAAATTAAAGATAAACATCTATAAACAATAAGATTAATTGAAAGTTTCTTCCTCGTCAACTAAGTTTCTTCACTCTCCACTTCATAATATCAACTTCATTCTAAACAATTAGAAAGAACAAATTATACATGTCTCCACAAACATAAAGAATATTAGTCATTTAAGGAAGATATATTATTTAGAATATTAAATATATAGGGAAAGTAATTATATGTGTGTGAGCGGGTACCCATGGGGCGGGTTTACCTAAACCCAACCCGACCCGGTGAATAGTGTAGCGGGTTTAAACCCAAACCCGGCCCAAAACCCGTCAACACGGGTTTTACCCGCGTTGACCGGGTTGGGTCGGGTGGGTACCCGTGGGTTCGGGTTTTGTTGCCATCCCTAGTGGCAAGTGGCTCGACTGCAGCTAGCGATAGGGAGGGAGATATCTGGTCATCCGATAGCACATGACGTTTTTGAGCAAATGCAGAAGAACGAAGAAAAATCAAGTAAGCATAAAGTTGTTCTTTTCGATCGCAGTGAAGGGATATTTGTAGTGGAAACAGGTGTATGGGGTGGAGGTAGACGTAGCCAAAATCGTCAAACGGTTACTCTGCACTATGAATCAGGGGAGTGTACATGTCAAAAATATCAAAATGAGAGGATACCCTGTTCACATGCAATGGTAATAGCTAAGTCACTAACCATGAACAGAAACACTCTGGTGAGTCCTTACTACACTGAACAAGCGATACGGAACTCATATGATGTAGCTTTGAGTCCCATGCCAGATGAAGCATATTGGCCTATATACGCTGGGAAGTTGATTATCCCACCGTTGCACCTAAAACGCACCAAGGGTGTCCTAGGATTGAAAGGATTCACAATGAGATGGATCAAGTGCAGCGCACGAGGCGGGGGCCGAAGCAATGCTCCAAGTGCAGACAACCTGGCCATGACAAGAGGCGTTGCCCAGGACAACCTATCGGGCATGGTGCGGATATTAATCAGGACCAACCTTGAAAAAGTGATCTATCTTAATTAGCATTTTCGTTTGTAAGCTTGTTTAAATTGTACCCATGTTTTGCCTTGACATGAATTTGGAATAAATTTGGAATGTGGTCCAATTAGAAAGTTGACTAACATAACATGGATAGTTCAACGACAATGCAAACTCAAATCACAAGACCGAAAAATTCAAATAAATGCGGATAGTTCACTACACAAAACACTAGAATAATCAAAGAAAGCACGGATAGTTCACTGGTTGTCTTCATTTGGTTGCCCCTCATTTTGGCCCCCATCTCGCCCTCCGCCTCGTCCTCCACGACGTCCTTGACCCCTTCTTCCACCTCCTCCTTCTGCTTCTTGGCGGGCTCGCTCAACGACTTGTCGCGGATGTCTCTTAACCTGAGCCCCTACTGGAGTTACAAGTGGCGGGTGAGGTGGCTGAGATGGACCGGTAGCTTGCTGGTAGATCGGGCGGTGAGGGGTTTGTTGCTGCGGGGTGTGATACATTGGAGTCTGTTGCTGATGGTGGAAATGAGGGAAAATGTATGGTTCCTATGATGAACCTCCAGCGACATCCGGTGCAGGTGCCCACTCGTACTCAAATGGTTTCAGGGAGCTCGGTTGCTTGAGTTGTACGCACCTCTTCGAAAGTAGGCAGCGGCTTGCGTTTGCTCCTTCGTGGGGGCTCAACCGAGGGCACAATGGGCTCACCATCACGGAATGATGGGCGTGCCGGAGCGGGAATGGGAGGATAGGCCATGACATCCCTCCTTTTCTCTCGGGTACAACTCAAGAGGTTGTTCATAAGCCTTCACAGCCAAGAAGTTTTGCGCTCATCCATGGTTGAGCACTATCGAGGGTGTGTTTGGCGTGTTCCAAACCATCAACCTAAGAAATCCACATAATAAATCAAAATTAATTAAACCTTAAAACAAAATAATTAGACTCACGAGGGAGATTAGGATGACTTACCAACGAACCCATCACAACACCTTGCTTTGACACCCATCTATTGGTGAACTTCCGATACCACTGCATGTACCCATCGTGGTAGCCCATCGGCCTCGTCTCCGGCATCCCTTGGACCACCCATGTCGCTCTATTCTCCCAGATGTTGATGTAGAACTGATGCTTTAGGAGCCAATTCTTTGTCGCGTGTCGGAGGTCGATGGCATGGAGCTCCTTGAAACCTTGAGGCGGGGTTTGTGGAATTGGTTGCTCCATTCGATATTGCCTCAAGGATCGATCGGGTAGGTGCCACTCCACGATGTGCCAGCAGATCAATGGCACCTTTCACAACCACATCTCGTGATCCAGAGGGTGTCTAAGATGATGCAGTTCGACCACTTCACTTGGATATGGATCCCAAGTAACCTATATTCATTCAAATGATGCAATTAGCGACCATTTACATTGAAAAAATTTAACTTGTTAAAATATGATAAAGCATGATTACCTGATTCCACCAAGGCTTATCTAACTCAGAACGATAAAACAGTAACGAATGCTCAGGTTGATGGTCATTCGTATTTGCTCATATCCACCTTGTAAGTAAAAGCATGGAATAATTTTAAATTAGCCTAAGCACGGATTAAATTCAATTTAAATCTAGCTAAGCATGGAATAATTTTAAATTAGGCTAAGTACGGAATAAATTCAATTTAAATCTAGCTAAGCATGGAATAAATTTAAATTAGGCTAAGTACGGATTAAATTCAATTTTAATCTATCTAAGCATGGAATAAATTTAAATTAGGCTAAGTATGGAATACATGCAATTTAAATCTATCTAAGCATGGAATAAATTTAAATTAGGCTAAGTACGGAATACATGCAATTTAAATCTAGCTAAGCATGGAATAATTTTAAATTAGGCTAAGTATGGAATAAACTTACTTGACACCGTAGGGGGGATTTTGCAGAAAGTGTAGCTCATCATTGGCTCTCTGGTATGGACGTGGGTCTAGAGGTGCGAACATTGGAAGATGCTCCCATACCCACAGCTGTAGGATGAACATCGCAGCACCAGCTTGTTTTGCTCCCACCGTCGAGCAAGTACACAGCTCCTGGTATACGCCAACTAACACGGCCGATCCCCAACTCTTTTCCCCGATTGCATCCCAATCACCAAGGAGCAAGTCCAACCATATGCCTTGAATCCACCGGTTTGACTTGTCGGGGAACAGAAATCCACCCACCAAACCAATGAGGTAGATGCGTGCATAGCGCTCCACTTGATCTTCCGGAGTCTCGTCATTGATTTCCACCTCATTTTGGATGTGAGATACCAGCCACGGGACCGACACTTGTCCCACATTCAACGATGGATGCCTCCGTCCTTGAATTGGTGTGGTGGTCGGCATGTTAAAGCCCAAACGATCACGAATGAGCAGCCCCCAACCTCCTTCGAGTTTGGTAGTGGAACCAATGATGGCATCTCCAGAAATCGGTAGCCCGGTGAGGATCGCCACGTCTTTGAGGGTGATCGTCATTTCCCCCTCCGGAAGGTGGAACGTATGGGTTTCGAGACGCCATCGCTCCGCCATTGCCGTAAGCAGATCGTTGTCGATTTCGATCCGCATGAAATGGCGCAACATACCCAACCCGGTCCTCTCTATATAGGGCGCCAACCGTGGATGCCAAGCGGGCAAGTTTGTGGTCCCTTTATGAACGACGGGAATAAGTGATTCCTTCAAAAAAATAGGAAAAACATCAATTTGCTAGTTTAAATAAAGCAAAATAAAACCTTAGAAAATAATAAAATAAAGCAAATAAATCATCAAATTACCGGATTTCTATCCCAAATAGCACGGGAGCGATGAGCTTCTTGATCGAGTCTCATATTTCTTGGCCCATAATGGATATACAATCGAGGATCGTATATCTCGGCACCCATTTATAAAAAAAGGAATAAAATCAGAGATTGTTTTGATCAAAAAAATCACAAAATCAAATTGTTTCGATTAAAAAAAACA